TTGATATGTACTGAGTATTTATGCGTTTTTAACCCTTAAATGCATACCTCGGGTCTTTGACGGCTGTAGACATCATTCTCTACCCTCTCTAAGTTTCAAAAGGTAACGAAATATGCTTTATTTTATTCTTCTGTAATTGTTCTTAAAATATCAAGAGAGTTTTTTTGCTATTGCAGCAGTTAGAGATCCATCATGCTGGATATATTGGTCCGGGTAGCTAAAGACCCGAATATGTAAGAATGATTGGCAAAACATTCATGCATTTAAGGGTTAACCTAAATCACAGCAGCACATCTGTGAAGGATGTAGGTTGTCAAACATACACAACTGTTAGCCAATCATAGCAGTGGGCGTTTACTTCTGAGTCTACAATCCGCCACGCCTATTCAAACAGCGTTCTGATGAGGGGGGTCAAAACAGGACAGAAAATAACCGTTTACTTCTAAATTGTGATGTTTTGGGATGTAAAAATCTTAACATGTAACATAAGTGGACCTCAGAGAACAGTACAATATAATAAAAAAAGGTAATTTATGACCCCTTTATTTGATCATTTGTGTTTGTGTGCTTATATACAAAATTGGGTGCATCATGTCATCATGTCAAACGCCAAACAGCACTGGTTTTGCTTCCAAAAACTTGCAATAAAGTTGTATGGACTGTTTTTATGGTACCTTTTATTGTGCAGTTTGTCATGTTTTGGAGCTTGACAACCCCTGGTCACTATATTGTTCTGTAGCATAAATGTTTTAAAACATCTCTTTGTGTGCTTCTTGGAAGAAAGTTTGAAAAATCTGAGGTCAGTAAGATTGATTTATTTTCCTTTTTTAAGGAAATTAATACTTTTTTTACAGCAAGAAAGCATGCCTAAAATCGATAAAATGTGACAGTAACTACTTTTACATTATTTTAAAAAAGTTCTTTTCGAGTTTCTTTTTGACTCTTTTGGGGTATGTTTTACAAAACAGGATTTTATTATAAATGTTGTCCTTTGAATTTTCTGTTCATAGTCTTCACAAAAATATTTAACAGCACAACTGTTTTCAACTTTGACATTAAGAAATGTTTCCTAAATCAGCATGTTAAAATGATTTCTGAAGGATCATGTGACAGGAGAAGATTTCAGCTTTGCATCACAAGAATAAATTACATTTTAAAATCGATCCAAATAGAAAACAGATATTTTAAATTGTAATAATATTTTGAATCTTATATTTTATAAGATACACTCCAGTACTGCAAATCATGCAACTTCATTGTAGTTTTCATTCTAAAAACTTATTTTATGTTGATCAAGATGATGCAAATACATTTCCTCCACGTTGGATGCTCATCCAAAAAGTCAGTCTGTGACGTTTACTTATAATTTTTGTTCACAATAGAAGACATTCTGCATTCCATAAAGGTCACAAGTGTGACCGTTAACACTATTTTGAAGGAGAACCTACAATATATTCTAATGGTGTCACAATAGTAACCTTAGCATTTTAGCATAAACTGTTTTCCTGAGCGAGACAAAGGTCTGTATACCGAGCGGTTCAGACGAGGATAGTACAAATTACAATTGGGCCAGTGATGATGACTTCTTTTCAATGTCAGTGAACTGACCGGTCCAGAATGGAGCATGACATAAAGCTCCAACTATCATTTCTGACAGGCTCGTCTTCATCTCAGTAACTCTTACATTTTCATTCCCTCCTCTGACCTCAATCAAGGCCTTTTGCTTTTATCATAGCGCAATTTCCATCACAGATATAAACTCATTTGCGTTCATGAAGGTCAATGACTGAATGAACACAAACGGAGAGAGTTATCTGGACACGGCTGGTCTTACAGCAGAGTCTGATGTCATTATTATTATGACGACTCGGTAAATAAGCGGCTCTCAAAGACATCAGACAACTGCCGCAAAGCGGGATGGAGCCGGTGAAGGACGGAACCGCGCTGGAAAACCTACTGGCGAGGAAACACACGACACATTGTGCAGCACACACACACACACACACGTAACAAGTAATACTGCACTCCTCCTGTAAATATACCCTTCCCAGAGCAACCACTGATGAATGTTAATTTCAGTCCCCTGGTGCTGATCCAATATGCTGATAAAGAGAGAGTGTGTGTTTCTTTGTGTGTGTGTGTGTGTGTGTGTTTAAGGCCCGTGGGGCCACCTAAGCATCTCGTGGAGCGGCGCTTTCAAATTGAACATTAGTAAAATGGACCAGAACGCCTGGCTTTCTTCTCTCGTCTGTAATTAACGAGTTGATTATTAAAATGAAGCTGTAGATCGTTCCCTTAAGCATGCTGATATCATAACACAGAGTGAGGAGCTCCATGCAGATGCTCTCACAAGGGTAACTGTAGTGGAGCTGCTCTGTATCAGGTGCAACTATCAGTGGCACTCGGGGGCTCTCACGAGACCAGCGCCATCCCTGACCTCTGCTGCGGTTTCCTCTCTCTACTCGCTTTCCAAAATCCTCCAGAAATAGAAGAAAATATTGATATTCGACCTTGTGTGGGGTTATAGTATCATCTTGCTTGTCCACCAAGTGATAAGATGCATACATTGAAGCCTGCATTTATAGTCCACATGGTAGCTACATGGTCAAAATGTTTTGAATTTTAACGGAAAAATATATATATATATTTTTTAAAACACTGAATTATATTCAGCACAATTATTTTTGCTTTTTTATTTGGAAGTAGAAGATATATCGTATGCTATTTGTAAAAAAAAAAAAAAAAACATCATCATCATAAAATTTTGAGTTAAATGTTGGAATTACGTTATATATATGTGTGACCCTGGACCGCAAAACCAGTCAGCACGGGTATATTTGTAGCAATAGCCAACAATACTTCAATATAGTCAATAGTCAATAGTCAAATTATCGATTTTTCTTTTATGCCAAAAATCATTAGGATATGAAGTAAAAGATCATGTTCCATGAAGATATTTCCCTATTTACCCTATGACTGGTTTTGTGGTCCAGGGTCACATATATGTATTAATTTTTTTGCTCAATTTTATTCATTTCTAATTATTTTATTGCATTTAAAAAAATAAAAATTATGCAAATAACAGCTATTTTTTTTTACTTATAGCTAATATTCTACAAATAAAATATTCAAAATATTCTACAAATATAATAACTACTGTAAATGCACACACACAAACACATATACTATATATATATAATTGTAAAACGTGTAATCATATTTTGAAATACAGATTACAGATAAAATTGTCATAACATTTTGAGTGAACATTTTAATTTACTTTAAAATAAAAAATAGAATGTAAATGTTATATTATAACAAGTATTATGTATTTTATTTTTTAATTAAAAAACAGTAAAAAGATCTTCCTGGCACAATCCACTTTTGTTTATTTTATTCAAATTTATTTAAATTTAGTTACATACATGTTTAATGTGACATTTCAAATTGTTTGGTTAAAATGTATTGAATTATTTTATTTTGACATGCTTATGGTTATTGTCAGTATATTTTAAGGTTAAGTTAATTTTGTTGGTTGATTCATATTACCACTTATGTTTATGAACTATAGGCTACAGCCAGGCACCACAAACTTTAGGGTCACATTTTAACATCACATTTTTTTTTCAGTGAATTTGTGTTAACCTACTATATGCTGTTTTAGCATAAATTATACAGGACTTTTATAGTCTATAAAGGAAAATAAGAACGATCACTTGCAAAGTTCTTGACATGCCACTGCACTGCTCGTATAAGACGCTAATGGAAGTCTTGAGCACATAATGGATCTTAAATGGCTGTGCTGTAAGCCCCGCCCACACCACCGGCTACGGTTCACGAACAATAGCAATTTCTGCTCTCCAGTGACATGGTTCACCCAAGTGTTAAAAAAATAACTTTAAAAGCCATGTTGATATAGTGGCAAGCACAACTTGACTGTGAACGTAATTGCAGCTTTACAGCTAAAGGTCCACCCTGCTAGATTAACCCTCTGATCCAGGCCAATTTCAGCTCGTGATTCACACAGCAGTGTTTGCAGTAAATAATGCAGTGAAAATGAAACCTTTAAACTTTTAATCTTTTCTTTATGCCCCTGTGTTCAGTATACAGCTTTTTGTCTGGACAGTGAATATGATATCAATGAGGCAATTTCCTCAGCAATGTCCCTCAGTTTCTCACATACAGTAATAATATTATATCAGCCTCCAAAAATAATGACAAGCAGGCAGCAGAATATATCCTTTTTGATTAAATGTTCTATTTATTATACATGTATCCATCTCGGCGGCAAAAAAAAAACATGTAAATGTACATCAAAGAAAACAAATGATTCATCTGCATAATAACAACATAAACATAAAAAAGAAAGCAAATGAGGCAGCACAAGAACTTGTCCAATCGTTCTCTCAATTTAGGACAACAGCGCCTTCTGTTGGTGTGAAACTGAAGCCTGTGATGAGAGACGGCTGTGGCACAAGAGAGTCTGTAACATGTCATTCATTTGACCTTCTCTTCTATTCATAATTCATATCATGAGAATTAAAAAGATCAATGAAATCATGCAGTTACAGAAATTACAATTAAAATACGATTGTAAATTCCAAAAAAATTATAATAATTGCACCGTTGCACATTGTCAAACATGATGATGGTCATATGATTTTATATATATAGATATAGATGCAAAAGCCTCTAAGGGCCATCTGAAATTTTCTTCTAAAATTAGCATTTTTATCAGGCTCCTATATTTATGTTCAGTTATTTCACTTTAATTGCATAGAAATAGACATTGCCATTAGAGTAAAAATATTGAACCTAAACATACGATCTTGATAAAAATGCTCATTTTAGATGAAAATTTCAGACGGCACTTAGACAGCATCTGAACTCTTCATATATATATATATATATATATAAAATGAAATATACTACATACACTCAAAGTTTGGGACCAGTAAGATTTAAAAAAAAATTATATATATATATGCATAGGTGACAGATTATACTGTACATTGTAATGGGTTGTTTCTAGACCCATTTAATCCAAAACAACATTTAATTCTACTTCTACTAAGAGGATGAAAAATGGTTATGAAAAGCTAAATTTACCTACATCATAAGTGTATTTTAAGGAAGAACTAAAATAGTAAAAATGTATACGACCTCTTCAAATATTTGTTGCAACTTAACTGGTGCTTTTTTTCATATTTGTTTGAAATCCATGTACTATTTTCAGACTAAAAACCCATGAGAGATCACAGTATAGGAGAGTTCAAGTGAATGGATCACCTTGGACAACATACACACGCAGTGCAGCTCTGTCCCTGCTGCTGCGCTTGCTTATGGATTTGCTCCAGGATGTTCCTGTGGAAATAGAGAGGACAGGAACGTATCTAATGCCACGTGATGGATTTCTGTTCATGAGAAGGACTTAATGAAAAAGCTCTCAACCACGAGGAGAATGTGTTGGCAATATACATCTTTTCAAACCCCATCAAAGGTGGACATCAAAAACCTCATCCTGTTCCTCCAGAGAGCCGCCTGTGATGACTGTGGAGGTACAGAGAGAGAGAATAAAAGGCTGGGAAAGAGTCACTCAAGTCACTGCGAGTTATTATCATAGTTTACTCTTTAAAAGATAAATAGTACAGTGTACTAGACAGGACATGGATTCTACTGCAGTAGCCTATGTACAATGTTGTCCAAAGACCATTGGTAAAAATGCTTAACATTTTTCTAGTTGAAATAAAACTTTTTTTTTTCCAATAACAATTACATTCAACTTGACAAAACATACTTTTACAATTTTTCTTTTATTTTTCATTTTATTTATAATGACATGGCAATGCATGTACATTTACAGCAAAATACTTTTGATTATTCCAATTAATTAGATTTTTATTTTATTTATAGAAATTAGGAATTATTAATATCAATTAATTAGAAAAATGCAAATTATGCAAATAACAGCTATATTTCACTTACAGCTATTATATATATACATTTTGAGTGTGTGTATATATATATATATATATATATATATACACTCAAAATGTAATCATGATGACAATATAAATTCTAATTATTTTTAATTAAATAAGAATAATTGAATACAAATAAAAAACAAAAATAAAATAAAAACAAAACAAAATTTGTAAGAAAAATATTAAAAAATAATTTTATACAATTAATTAATTTGTAATATTAATTTACCTTTTTGTAATTGAAAAGTGCCTTGTACTTTTATTCACAAAGAACATAGATTTTCTACTTACTATTAAAATAATTGTGTTAAATATAATTCATGGTAATCAGAAAAACTAGTTTTAGTATTATTATTATTATTATATAGTGAATAATTGTTAATTGAATAATTAATTGAATAAGTGAATAACTATCAATTTTATTAATTTTTAATGATTTTATTTTTATATTTGTAGTTTATTATTTATTAAATTTGTAGCTAATATTCTACAAATAAAAATAAATATTCAAAATATTGTATAAATAAAATAAAAAAATTCAATAAATTAGAATAATCAAAACTATTTATTTACTATCTATCTGTATATCTATTTATCTTTCCATCTAACTTTCCTTCTATCTATCCATCCATCCATCCATCCATCTATCCGTCTATCTATCTATCTATCTATATATTGTGATTCAATATTTATGTAAATTTATTTTTTCAATTGAAATTAGATTTTGAATTCCATAATTCTGTTTTGGACCCCACATCTGTAGGTGTTGGATTATATAGTGTGTCTTATGTTCAAGTATGCTTGTGTATAAATGTGCATTTACCTGGGGACTCTGCTATCGGCTCTGTGCTGGAGGGAGGTGGAAAGCTGAAAGAGCGTGTGGCTTTAAAGGAAGCGTCACTGTGACAACTGACACTCTGTGCACGCTTACGGCACTCGATGGCCAAACGACTGCAACAGTCTTTATGACAGCTCACCCCACACACTGAAAAAACACAGAGGAGGGTCACCGGGCCACATAGACACAGGAAAAAGACAAGAGTTAAAGGGTTAGTTCAACCAAAAATGAAAATTAGTCCATAAATTACACACCCTCAAGTCATCCTAGGTGTATGTGACTTTCTTCTTTCAGACGAATCCAGTCAGAGTTATATTAAAAATTGTCTTTGATCTTTCAAGCTGTTTAATGGCACTCAGCGGGTGTTGCATGCATCAGTCCAAAAGAAGTTAAAT